GCCTGGATTGTTCGCATGGCCTCAAACATTTCAGTTTTCCAGCAGTACGGGATGTCAATGTACTGTTCCATCATAAGTTCTATAGGAGCTGGCGAGACTCGAGACTTTGTTGGGGTTGTCGGCCCCATTTCAACTGCTAGTGACCCTCCGTAAAGTGGGATTTCTGGACAAATGTCGTTCTCGAGTGGAATGATGGGAACACAATGAGAAGCAGCATCTGGAATAGTGGTCTCCGAACCACTCCAGTTTCTCCCTTCGCAGTCTGATTCACTGTTTCGCCAAATATCCGTCATTTCACTGTCATCACTCTCTGATTGAATGCTGTCTTGCGTATTCTGGCTAATATAAGTGCACATTCCATCGGAAGTTTGCGAAGTGATTTCTCCTTCATCAAGCTGTTTCTTCAAAACTCGCCTATGGGAGATGCCATCATAAACCACTATATCGGCGACGTAACCTTCTTCCCCGACTGAGGGATCATCGTCGCTTCCTCTCACGTTTCCCTTGGCTCGGCCATGCTCCAAGATCAGTCCATGTGGTAGTTCATGTTGACTCATCCCGGCAGCGTATGTTAGTTGCTGCGTGGCTAATTGGTTCGGGGAATGGGTTGGAGATACGATTCCTGTAACTAGGTGTGGCATATTTTCTCGCGGCACCACTGGTTCAACCATGAAGAACTGCAGTGACTCCATATCTTGCTGCGTTGCGAAAGTATGGGGCAGCATGGTTTCCTGCTTTACCATTGCCAGTTGTGGAATCAACTCCTGTTGCTCTTTGGCGAATACCCGAAACCGTTGCCCATATGATTCAGGCACGGCAACTCTCCCACCAGCCTCACCCAGAGTCGGATTTATTAGCCCAGGCGTCAACCCGCGAGTGGAATTCAAGGTTGGATCGATCCCCCTTGCTTGCATTTTCTGTTCCAGCTGGTCCTCGACGACTTTAGTTTGTTTATTCCCGGATCCCCAGGAGAGTATGTTGAAAGCCTGGCGAAATCTGACGCCACGCTGTTGCAATGCGTTGTTAGCAATGCGAAATTCCGGATTCATACGGTCAGTAATATCATGCAATTGGATCCGTCTATCCAGGCGCATCCACGCTTCAACCCGAAACTCTTCCACATTGGTGGAGATTCTATCCGGTAAAATATCAAATACACGCAAATCCAGACCTGAGCCCCAAGGCGATGGCTTCATAGGCATCGTTTTCTGGGACCTCACTTGAGGGGCGGTCGGTCTAAATACATAAAGAATATCGGGAAGATTGTCAACAGACCATTCTGTCTGGTCAGGCATGGGATCGGTGATGTTCTGCACATTGCAACGAGAGGCGGCGCTGTGCTGGCGTGGTGGTCTTACTAGATCAAGATGTCAGACCTTGCATGTGCAGTAACATATATTGGCACCACCAACCTTTAGGCTTTGCCGCATTCTTTTTTTTTTTTTCCCTTCTTCTTAGTTTCTGATTACCGTCGACAAGCTTCGTTATTTCGAATATATTTCAACTGCCAAGTGGTATTCAAAACCCTGCTTTTCTTCCCAAATTTTAAGATGTATTAAAAAGCAACAATGCAGCCCCTATCTCGAAGCCAGCTTCAAGATGCGTGTTCGTAAAGGGGACGGAATGCCAGCTTCCTCTACTCAAACGAAATCGAATCAATTGTTTGTTAACATAGGGAAGAATTGAAGGACTCTAAAGTTGAAATAAGGGTTATTCCTCTAGGGGAAAAAAAAGTAGAAAAATCGATATTGGATGGAAAGGGGACAGCAACTTGGTCTCGTCCATCTTCGTGGTGAGAAATTGGGAAATGAGACCTGCTACACGGATTAGTGAAAGAGAGGTTACTACACCAGGCCCATTACTCTGGGGCAGGATAAATTTTGAATAGCCGGTTTCAATGTTGGTTCTCGTCTTTCAGCCCTATTGTTGGCGGGGATGGTTCTCGATAGGTTTGGATGTGCCGTCCCTATTCACTACTTTGCAGCATCACCCGAAACTGAAAACTTCAACCAACTGGCAACCTGATGTTATAGATACTATACACGGGATTGTACTATACAATTTGGTTCACAATAGTATGCATATACGTGTACATGTGCCGTACATACAATGGTATAATACTACGTATGGCTATCTCAGTAGCAATATGCTACGAATTCTCAAGTGTGTGAGTGCCGATTTTTTAAGGATTAGAACACCACTTTTCCTAAGACTCTCAGAAACTTGAGCTACCTCCGAAATATAAATATTACTAGAATTCATTGCCTTTAACGAACTCAGAGCTTGACCATGTCTAGGCCGCAATATAATTTTTTACAATCCGGTCTACCCATTATTGCAATGGCGTGCACTGCATAACTTGCCATAATCAGTATGAGATACTAGCTATTGAAGCAGCCAAAGGGGCCAAATTGCGTTGTTACACAGAATGATGTTAAGAAAAAGCTTTCAAAAAGTTTCATTCACCATCCAATTCACCGCGTTGAATTGCATCCAAGCTAATACCGATGAGTTGATGATGCCGGTGGAAAAATTTGAGTCACACTACTTACCAAAAAAAAAAGAAAAAACCCAAATTAATATAAATACAGACTCTAACATGAGTGAAGGGTAAACGAGGTTATTCTTATACAGAAATCAATGAGATACTAAACCTGGAGGTCAAGATGGCGAAATGAGAATAAATGAATGTCACCATATTTGGTGTTATACTTTGAATACAGTTTCGGTTTCGGTTTTCTTTTTCTGTTCCTCCTCCGTGGTCATGATCGTTCAACTGTTTTTATCTAATTATCAGACTATCATTTGTCAAGAGACTGCTCAATACGAAGTTTTGCGAGCAATTGTGGGTGATATCCAGAATGGTAGTAGAGTGAAGTCAGTCTCTCCATCAAGGGAGGAAAACGCAACTAGTGGCTGCCATGCTCCCTGACTGCATATTTAAGGCGTCAGAAAAAGCATACTATGAATAATACACACACACACACACACACACACTGTGTGAATAATGGAGATTTTGTATCATCGGTTTGTTGGGTGTTGGTGTTAGATTCCAAGATCCTACAAATTGTGAACTAAGTCCCTGACGATTGGGGAATTCTCCTTTTAGTACGGAGCATAGTGGTAAAAAAAGTCCAATTTTAATATATGAGACCGTCAAAGCCGCTGTGTAGTAGTATTAAACAAATGACCCTTAGTCTCTAAGGCCGTCCTTTTTGTGGTTTAAGTTTCAACAGTTGGTAATTGATCGCGTGGTTAGCGCGTTTGCAAAAAGGTCTAGGCGCTTAACGCCTCTGGAACTTTAAGCAAAGGCCTGCACCATCGTTCTCAACGCATACTACAATCTACCAGTAAAATAGGCGGGAATGCTAGATAACGCAAACCACGGTGATGCTGTTCAACCTTTCCATAGCTTAAGATATCGTATGATTGCCCCTTTTTTTTTATTCCTCTCAGCGAGCATTAGCTCTTGAGAAACAATGGCAGCTCCTCCCAGTGAAAAATCTCGCCCAGTTGCCGAACAGTGTGCAGAACAATGTACAGACATTCCATCGGGAGCTTCAATTCCGACCAAAAGGAAAGCTACCGAGGGCTCTACACCTAATGATGGCCTCCCAATAAATTTCACTTCCCGCAAGCCGCCATGGTCATATCTCAAGCTTCAGCTGTACGAATCCCATCCCACTCCAATCCCTCAATATTCCGAAACTTGATATATCGAATTAGTAATGTAGCTCTAAAGAATTGTGCAGAATTACTCAACCAAATCTATCATCTTCAACCCCCATCGATGAACTTACGGCACGCACATATCTTACCTCCGCTCTCTCCCAATTTCTAGGCATATCCGGCACGTCCATCTCAATCGATATCCTAAAGATTGAATCCGTTCCCCCGTTGCAAAATATAGTTTGGATCCGCGTTCCTCGCGATGACGCAGCAGCGGTTGTAGCAGCTGTTAGCTCCTGGATCGGAGGCGGGGCGCAAACCGTGGCTGGCGTTTCCTGGAGGATCCTAAGTAAAGGCGGATTTCTGGGTGCATTGGTGGGAGGAACTGGAAAGGAACTGTTCGTACCTTGATATAAATCTGCAATATATGGTTTTCCATTTCTTGTCAATGATTTATGAAACCTGGGTGTGAGCTGCGGGGTTGAGATGCTATATATCAATATAGTAATCGGGAACAGACTCAAACTTGCGCTTTACTATGTGAATTGCGGCGCCGCATGTATATGATAGGCTTCCAAATTGAGCGGCTCTACCTAGACAAGATTGGTGGCGAGCATATGATGACAGATGGGGGGCTTGGCAAGGGCCGGCCTTATTGAATGATAGCATCATTTCGTTTAAAACGGATGATCCGAAAATGGTCGAATGTTACTCGGAGTACATTGGCACGGAACCTCAGAACACAAGGCATTTGCAACTTTTGACCGTCTTGCCATCTTCGGCTGCCTCTTCCTGTCATATCAGGGGAAGACTGATGCTGTAATGACATCTGATAGTGGCTTAAAGGCTCAATTGACATACTAATTACTCATATGCTGCCCTTCCTCGTCACCCAGTGTTGATGGCAAGTACGGTTTATCTTTTGCAGTGTAACTTAGAACCTAGTAGAATACTAGTAGTACAATCTACCGTCAGACATACTACAATGTTCAGAGTTGCATCCTTTTATTTGCTGGTTGGTTTATATTTTGTTTTTCCTACCCGTATTATTGCCAAAGTTGTCACTCGATAGTAGTAGTAGTATTATTTGGAACCTCTAGCTCCATTATTCCACACAGTTCACTCCTTCATTTGCCTACGCAGTATGGAGTACACCTCCAACAGGTTGTGTTTCACGTGATACGCCTAGTGTGCTCTTTCTTTAATCGGGTCTTGACGCCAGCCGCTCAGCCAATTAAAATTGAGGTACGATTTAAACTTTCAACTATAAAAGTTTATTTCACACAATGCGGTCATAACGTTTTTAACGACAAAAGCCACCACCAAGCCACGGGCAATTGGTTTAGTGGTATAATACCCCCTTAGCATCCAGTTTTCAACTATTACTTGGGGGTGGTCCAGGGTTCGATTCCCTGATTGTCCAACGTTCTTTTTTTAAAATTTCCTGCTCTTTTCCCGTTTTTTTGGGCGTTCGGGATGGTTTTTGTGGTTGTTTAGCCCACTCGAGGTAAAAAAAATTTTAAAATATATATATACGCATCTCATTATATTTGTAAGAAGTAGCCAGGTCTTTTATTTAATGATAGAGGAATTTATTGACGCTGGCCTCCAGATATGGATTTGAATGCGGGAACTTGTTGGTGTAGGTACATACATTTTAATCCTGCAAGTAGTAGTTAGTAATTAAATTAACCATGCAACAATGTCACACAACACCAATGCTGCATAACCGTTCCTGCAACATAGCGCCGTAATGGATAATTTTTCTGTACTCCGTGCTCCGCAGTTTAATGCAACAAGAGCACTTCAAATTATTTTCGCAGTTCAGGTTTAGGCCCGCTACTAGTAGTAGTACTATACTCACCAATTTGCAAATTTAAACTTTCAAATGGAACATTTATTATCCACGTTTTGAACAAATACATACACATTATCTTCAGTGGTGTATTTCGTCCTATGAGCCAGCGGGTTGTGTGGCCAATTGGCACGCACAGCAAACCGAGCGCCGAAGGAGCAAGCTCCAAAACCTTATTTAGCTGGCCGGAATATTTGGCGGCCCGAACGCTTGGGGTCTGGCTTAGTCGGTGGCAACCTCGGAACCTAATAACGGAGCATAATTGGTTCAAGCCGCCGACAGGGCTGGCGAGAGAGTTGATGCGGGGGTTGGTCAAGGAGCTGTTCCGTTTGGGAGAGAGCTAGGGCTTCGGCCAGAGATGGAACTAGGGAGCTCCAAGGAGCCGGAGTGTGAAGCCGAGCAGCGGGCGATGGTAACTTGTCACCATATTAAAAACCGGTATTAATATCTGTGACCGCTTCTTCTTCTTCTTCTTCCTCTTGTCACTTTTACTTTCTAATATCCCCTCTGTCTTCCTACTGGTAGTAGAGTAGTAGTACTTACTGGCCTGGTTCTCGACTTATTTGATACAGATTAGCAGCTTAGTAGTTTCCTTTCCCCGATTGTGCTGTTGACTGGGCAGCCAGCTCAGTGATCGATTACAAGTTTTTTTTAAACCCGACCCTGTCTTGCTCTACCGCCCTATTCACAATGGCCTCCATTTCTCGAACAGTCACCAGCATGAGGCTCTGCCACGGCTTCAATCTGCACGGTCGTTTGCAACCTCACGGCACCTCCGGGCTAGTGCTTCTACCGGCAAGCCATTCTTCCCCAATGAGCCAGCTCGACCAAGTGTGAAAACCTCCATTCCAGGCATTAAGAATCAACAGGCAACTGCGGAACTGGAAGAAGTCTTCGACACGAGAAGCATGAATATGCTGGCAAACTATGACGCCAGCATTGGGAACTAGTAAGTTTTGAATGAGGAATGCGGGACAAATTATGAATAGGTGGTAACTTGGTTTCTTTTACGACATAGTCTCTCCGATCTTGACGGAAATGTTCTATTGGATGTGTAAGTTCTCATTTCTTTGAACTCCCCCCCCCCTTTTTTTTAGTAGGCATGCATTTTTGAAAATCATTGTATTTCCTTCCGGTATTCG